CTGAAATGCAACAAATGTTCTCTTTTGCCTAACAACATTTTTTTAACGTGTGATGTATGGAGTGCAAAATACGGATTGTCAGTTTCTTATATATGTATAACGGCACATTGGATTGAGCCTTCATCATGACATTTATTCAAACGTGTAATCGCATTAAACCGTTTGGTGCATCACATTCTGGTGCACGTCAATTTTCAATTATTAAAAAATGTCTTGCATTTTATAATTCAGCTACTAAAATAATTAGCATTTCATTTGATAACGCTAGTAATAACAATCTATGGGAAGTTTGTGCCCATTGTCTTGGTCATCCGATTTTTGAAGGAAAATCTGCAGCATTTTATTTCTTGTGTCAACCAATACTCTTTTCTCTTGATAAACGGAAAATGACTGGAAATTGGAGTTTTTAAGAAAAAGACATGTGAGGTCACCTTATGTAAACATGGGAGAATGTGAAAAGAGGGTTTATGGGTCAAATCATTGGGTAAAGGACAAGTCTTATTGATAAGTGGGTATTTTGCAAAAAAAAATTATAAAAGGTCAATGGGAGGGTGATAAAAAAAGAATTTTTCAATTTTTTTTCAAAAGTGATGAAAAGAAAATGATTTTCTCATTAAAATAATCATTTTTGTGAAAAACTCTTGAAAATAAAATTTTGAGTGATTTTTTCAAAAATAATCTTTATTTTTGAAATTGGTTGGGAGACTTGCATCATCATACAAGTACTAGTACCAACAATGATGACATCATTGCCATAAAGTCACCATTGAATCACAATTGATTTTAAATAAAAGAAAAAATAATGTCATCATGTATACGCGAGATAGGAACCGGGTCGTGAACAAGTTTCTATCGCACAAAAATATAATGCTATCTTCGGAGATCCCGTGCTTTTCCGGAGGCCTTTGCCATCCCCAAGTCAGACTACCGAAGATCAGACAGACCACCACACCGGATGCCACGGGTGAGGCATCCGCTAGTCTGGACGACACGGGTAAATTGGATTGATCATCTTCCTAGGTGTTTCGTTATGACTTTTGAAACTCAAAAACAATATTTTTTTGGATTGAGTGTTTAATATTTTATCTGACCGCCTCTTTTGTGTTCATATATGGCGGTCGTTGATATTTGCTTGGAATTATTGGAAGAATTCTTTACGGAAGGTCTTTTGATAAATTGCTACTCTAACTTACTTTTGTTTCTTATTGGGCATTGATAATTTATTGGTATATCGTTGGCTTATTCTTCATTTTCAGGTGCGATTTCCTTGTCGAAATCTTTGGGTTGCAAAAATTAAAAAGACGTGGGCCATCTTTCATTTTTGGCCCAAACACTATCCATTGTTACCAAACCGAACACTTTAAACCCATTACTCCAATGCGAAAAAATTGTTCGGTTTAAGTTTGGGGGAGGTTGTATGCCAAAGTGTTGAGAAAAAATTCTTGAAGTACCAAATGTCTTCGGAAAGTTAATATCACTTCTTGGGTTTCTTGAAAGTGTCAAAGACACAACAAAAAGATGCGAAAAGTCGAAATCATTCAAAGCAATTGTTGTCATTCTAAGACAAGTTTGGGGAAACTTTTTAGCCAAAAACACTAACCCGATAAAAGTCTCACCGATTAATTTTTGCACCTCGAAGATCAAAGAAGGGAAGTTGCACAACATTTAAGCCGACGAGACTTCAACGCCCCTCCGTAAGTTATGATTTCTTGTTCCTCTTTGTTTATATTCCGTTTATTTTGATTATTTGAGGACAAGTAATATCTTAAGTTTGGGAGTGTGATAACTCTTATTTTTAAGAGTTATTTCCTATTTATTTCCACCATTTTTGTTATTATTAAATACCCAATTTTCTTGTTATTATCATTTTATTCCAAAAAGTTTTAAAAAGATGATGAAACACAAAGGAAGAAGTATTATTCCAAAAACCTGTATTTTTCTAACAGCACTGCCCACGTGGAGACGCAAATTTTGTATGTATCTAGCTAGGGGTTAAGCAATAGTTTTTTTATCACAAAGAGATTTGGGTAAGAATCGCATTCCTTTTACTTTTTAGTTAGATCGGCAAGTTTCGAAGTGGTAAACGTAAAAACCTTATGGAATTTTACGAGGCCCGGTTATAAAAGTTCACTTTCGAGAGATTTGAGTTTTTATAAACAACTCGTAAAAGTCTAACCATTTTATTGTTAATTTTATCTTAAGCAGCACTTTCACCCATGCCCATTCATTTAATATTAGAAGTTTATTTCGTTATTTCGCTTGTCGGTCTTATTTCGGTCTTTTTATAAACAAAAATCCAACTTTATTTTACATCTCGAAACTCGTGCAAAAAGTTCATGAAAAATCTCTGAATCTCAGTAGTACCTTCTCTGTGGGAACGATCTCGGTACTTTGTACCACTTTATTACTTGCAAGCTGTAACACCCTAAAAAAAGCAAAAATGAAGAGATAAGATGAACCCAAAAAAAAAACAAAGTGGAAACTAGAGTATAATATGAATTGTCCAACATAGGGAAAGGGTACAGCGTTTACAAAACAATTAAAGAGGCGATAAATAACAACCTATTAATTTAAACAATCCTATGCCTAGATTAAGGACGGGTGTTTCTATCGTCTCCAACAAAAATGTCGGATCATCGAATATTGCAACGCTCCAAAACGTCAAAAGCTTTAGCTACACAAAAAAAAAGCCTTCTTCGAGACTACGCTCCCTTCAACCCGGTTTAGTCATGCCGCTTAAAGAACCTGACCAACAAGTCATTTCAAGAGAGAGAGTGTTAGGCTTACGCCTAGTGAGTCCACCTAGGATAACAAAAGGCCAATAAACCGATATATAAATGGGCATATATAAATGCATGACGAAAGTATTAAATGGAACAAAGATAGCATTGAACTCTAAATAATTGAGGGGGTTACACATATGAAGATGATGGGGGAGACCCGATTTACCGTTAGTTATGACGAACACAAAGTAAGTCATAAGTCAACGTTAGAGAGCATCACTTCCAATTTTAATGCCTTTGACATCAACCTAACCAGTCATGAAGTCGGTCGCGATCTTAAGCTCTTTACCTCGAAAATTACATAATAATCACAATGCCTATTTTCGAGTGGGAGTAAGAAGGTGGTTTGGAATTTACATAATAATCACAATGTCTAACTCCAACTTACACCATCCTTCATGCAAAATACAATGGAATGATTCTTCATGCCTTTAGGCCTATTACATTCTAGTGGCATACTTGAATAGGGTGTCATAGGCATAATAGCATTTATTTATCCGTAAAACTTCGTTTGTGTCCTAATTCAAGCAAAATGTTTCCCGCTCGCAAATAAAGAACCCCAAACTACAAGTGTAAGGTTATTGGAATTCAATGGCCAACAACACTTAGTGAAATGGGTATTCTACCAAATGATCAAAACCATTTACCCAACTCAATTTTTCTTTAATAACGAGATCACCCAAGTTCATCCTATTGACCCAAAACTATTCATTACATCTAAGTGGGTAAGTGCAGAAAATTAAGGCATAGGATAAGTATAGTGCATCATTACAATAGCATATAGTTCCATGTAAAAGGTTAAGATGTACTCACCGGAAGGATTTAGGAGGAATCCCAATTTCTAGGAATTCACCGGTAGACGGAAGGAGATCTTAGCTCGTAAGAGCAACACCTCAACACGAAACGGGCAGCAGCCAATAAGACAGAAGGGGAAAAAGGAGGCGCAGATTGCCCTGGGCGCGACACAACGACTTTCGAGCCTGGTCAAAATAGGTACTTAACTACGACAAACAGCAGCTTACTGCTGCTTCTAATTAGCCTGCTAACTTCGCCAAACAGTAGCTTGCTGCTGTTTTTTTTCCTACCTGATGTGCGCGCATCAAACAGCAGCGAAAGCTGCTTCGAATCGGTCCATTTCCTTCGCGCAAACAGCAGCTAAGGGTGCTGTTTCGTTACCTGTTGCTTGCCGCTGCTGCTGTGGTTGTTGCTAGGCGAAAGGGAGTGATGGAGCAAGGCAATAGAGCCTCTTACATGGTGCTGCTGCGGCTGCTGTTTGTTTGGTGAAACAGTCGACAGAAACAGCATGGTAGGCTGCGAGCAGTTTTGGGTGCGGCAAAGAAGAGCAAACACAACAGCTTGCTGTCTTGGGCGCAACAAGGAAAAGCAACACAGCAGCTTGCTATTTTGGTGAGACAACAGAAGAATAGACGTGGCTGACACTAAACGACTCGACTCCAGGCGCTGTTGGATCTTTCAAGGGCTAGATTTAGATGGGGGTTCACCACACCTCCCTCTCCCACTCAAACAGGAACCGCTGATGTCTTCTATCTTCATGAGGTTCCCTTCTCCCCTTTGATTTCTCTTTCTTTTCTTTTCTTTTTTCTTCCTCTCCTCTTTCTAACATCCCTGTGCAGAAATCTAAGCTCCACTCCCTACTAAAAACAACACCCGCAGGTAAGGACTCAAGGTCCAGAGGGGAAAATCTCCTAGGAAGGGGAAAGTCTAGAGGTTAAGATTAAAAGGTAGAGGGTAATACCCCCCCCCCCTTTCAAGAAAAAAAAAACAGTTTGTATAACTTTTCAAATCCAAAGATTATTCTAATGAAATCCCCTTTTCTTTAAATTAGAAGTACATAAATAAATAAAGGAAGAGTCTAAACTCCTAACATCCAAATATAATTCATAAAAAAAAATACAGGCGTTACACAAGCGATCATATTGTCGGCGTGCACTTGCACCACCACTGTGAGGACATACTGCCCACTAGGTGAACACGAACGATCCTAGTCTGTCAAGTTTTTGGCGCTGCTTCCAGGGAAGGTAACGCGATTTTTATCCTGAGATATTGATTTTTCATTTGAGCCTTGTTCTTTTGTTTCACTCGTACTTTCCATGTTGTATGCCAAGGCTACAATATGGTGAACTTTTACCTCTTGATCTTGAATTAGAAAGAACCATTAGAAGACGTAGAAGAGGTAGAAATAATCGTAACCGTACCATGGGGGATAATCCACTTCCACGGGAGGCCACGGTTAATATTGCCGATGATAAAAATAAAGGCATACGGGACTACGCAACTCCCGAATTCGGTCAGTTGGCAGAGGGAATAGGTAGGCCCAAAATGACAGCAACAACATTTGAACCAAAACCGGTAATGTTCCAAATGATTTTCGCAATGGGTCAGTTTGGGGGATTATCGTCGGAAGATCCGCACTCTCATTTAAAATCTTTTATAGAAATGATGGATCATTTTAAAATACCCGGAGTCACACAAGAAGCCTTACTCTTGATGTTTTTCCTTTATACATTGAATGATAGAGCTAGAGCATGGCTAAATTCTCAACCACCAAACTCGATCCTAACTTGGAATGATTTGGCGGAAAATTTTCTGAAAAAATACTTCCCTCCGACGAGGAATGTAAAAATTAGAAATGATATTATGACAATTCGCCAAGAAGAAGATGAAGCGGTTTCGGATGCATGGGAGAGATTTAAGGACCTTCTACGGAAATGTCCTCACCACGGAGTCCCTCATTGCATTCAATTGGAGACATTTTATAATGGTCTCTCCAATTCCGCTAAAACTATTCTTAACGCAACGGCCGGTGGAGCGTTCACAGCTAAGACTTACAATGAAGGACACGACATTTTGGAACGAATTTCTAATAATAATACTGAATGGTCAAATCCTCGTGCTGTTGTTTCTAAATCTGCTTTAGGCATCCATGAAATTGATATCATTTCTGCTTTAAATGCTCAAATTGTAGCTTTAACTAATTTGATTAAAAATAATTTACGTTTGAATGGAGAGATTAATCAAGTTCAATCCATGATGTCCAACCCACCTATGACTGAATCTTGTGTCTTTTGTGGTGAGAGCCATTCTTATGAATATTGCTACGGAAATCCCGTCTCGATGAATTATGTTGGGAGTCATGTTAGAAATAGCCCATTTTCTCCCGCATACAATTCAAATTGGAGGAATCACCCCAATTTTTCTTGGATCGGAAATTCTGGACTTCAACCCCCCGGGGTTACTCAAGTCCAAAATCGGCCACAAAATCCCTCGGGATATGGGCAAGGTGTTTCCACAATTACCAAAATGAACAATCCTCACACTCACACATGCCTAGACAAAATGCATCGGACGGTAATGGTTCACTCGAATCATTACTTAAAGGTTTTATAAACCAAACCAATGCAACGTTAAAGAGATTCGAAACCCAACTCGGCCAATTTGCCGCCGATCTCAAGGATAGATCTTTAGGAACTTTGCCTAGTGACACGGAAACCCCTAAGGGTAAAGAACATATCAAAGTCGTGACCGTGTTGAGTGAGGAGAGTTCAAAAGTCAATAATGACACAAGTGAAACCGTCGAAAAATCGACACATCAAAACAAGGTTTCACATGCTTTTGATATGCCAAATTTTCCAATTTTGAGTCCTCCCAATGAAGAAACTCAAAAATCTGTTTCTGTCCAGAAAACAGTCCCTGCTTCAACTTCCAGCAATGTGCAGCTCTCTGATAGAACTTCCAAACCAAACAGATCCATTCAATCAGCTCCAGATTTGAAGAACTTACCTTTTCCAGAAAGAATGAAAAACAAAAATGTATAGGAGAAGTTTAAGAAGTTTTTGGACATCTTTAAACAACTCCACATTAACATACCATTGGTAGAAGCTCTCGAGCAAATGCCAAGTTATGTTAAATTTTTGAAAGATATTCTACATAAAAAGAGAAGGTTGAATGAATTTGAAAAGGTTGCTTTAACCAAAGAATATAGCACACTCCTTACTTGTAAAATTTCTCCCAAGTTAAAAGACCCGGGAAGTTGTACCATCCCATGTTCTATAGGAGGAAAAGAAGTAGGTCATGCCCTATGTGATTTGGGGGCAAGCATTAATCTTATGTCATTGTCAGTTTTTAACAAGTTAGGAATAGGTGAAGTCCGTCTGACGACCGTGACTTTACAATTGGCAGATAGGTCCATTGCATATCCTAAGGGTAAAATAGAGGATATTTGGGTCCAAGTTGATAAATTTATTTTTCTGGCCGATTTTCTAGTTTTGGACTAYGAMGCTGACAAGAATGTCCCAATCATCTTAGGACGACCTTTTCTTGCAACCGGGAAAACATTAATTGATGTACAAAAGGGGGAGTTGACCATGAGAGTTAGTGATCAGGAAGTGAAATTTAATGTGTTTAATTCCCTTAAGTTTCATGGAGAGGTAGGCGATTGTTCAGTCATATCTGCTTTAGGTGAAGATTTAGAGATAAGTTTAATTGACATTCCTCACAAATAACATTGGAGAAAATCTTGAGGACATATTGAAAGAAAATGTTGAGTTGGGAGATTTGGAAGATTTAGCGGCATTTGAGCAACTTGACTTTAAGGATAGAGTTGTCCAACCACCATCCATAGAGAAAGATTGGAGAAAAAGAAAAAAAATAAAGGAATATCTGATACTTTTGAATAGACAGTGAGAAGTTTGTGCCTATTGTCTTGGTCATCCGATTTTTGAAGGAAAATCTGCAACATTTTATTTCTTGTGTCAACCAATACTCTTTTCTCTTGATAAATGGAAAATGGCTGGACATTGGAGTTTTTAAGAAAAGGACATGTGAGATCACCTTATGTAAACATGGGAGAATGTGAAAAGAGGGTTTATGGGTCAAATCATTGGGTAAGGACAAGTCTTATTGATAAGTGGGTATTTTGCAAAAAAAAATTATAAAAGGTCAATGGGAGGGTGTTGGACCGATCTAGGGAACCGCCCACGTGATATTGCCCGCTTTGGGTTTGACCAACCCCTCACGGTTTTAAAACGCGTCACTGGTAGGAGTAAGACTCCCACTTTCTTATAAGGAAGCCGAATCCCCCTAGCCTCACCGATGTGGGATGCTCCTGCATTGC